TGAGTATACATGTATATATGAATGTAGGTATGTATGTGGGGGAGTATGTATGGAAGTAGGTATGTAAGCATGTATGCATGTATTTATGTACGTTATATGTATGTATGTATGTATATATGTATGTATGTATGTGTATACATATTTATTTAAATATTAATGTGTTTATGTATGTGTGTATGTACATATTCATGTATGAATGCATGTATGCATGTTTAAATGCATGAGTGCGTGATTGCATGAATGAACGTATATATATATACATACACACACACACACACACACACACACACACACACACACATATATATAACTTTGTATAAGGTTTTGTTTGTATGTATGTAAATACGTATGTATGTATCTGTATATATGTATAGCTCATATAGTAGTGTGGATATATATGAGCAACAATACATATGTTTTTAATTATTTCATACGGTATACTACACATGTACATACGTTGAACTTCGCTGAGTTCTGTACGTTTGCGCCTCCAATTACTTTTGGACCTTGTTAACTATATTCGAATCGTTAGAAAGTGATTCCATCCTCCCCTTTAACTAATCCACACTCCCTTCCACAACAACGCCGGTCTGACCCTGCGTTCTACGTACGGACTATTCAACTAATACAGAAGTATACATTTAAAATTGGTCTTGTACTAGATCACTACCGCTAATACTAGCCCTCAGTAGAGTCTAGAATACAGTATTGTACATTCCTACTTGACAGTTGCAGTGCTGTATGCTGGCACTAGCGCTTTCACTGTAACTAATATTGTAAATATACATAAATAAACATAGTCTTCATAGCCTTCAAGGAATACATAATATAAAGTTCACCTTTCTCTGACTCTCCCTCCCAGTCTCCTGTCTCCACTCTCTGCCAGTCTCTGGTGGCCAGAATTTTCAATAGCGAGTATCTGATAGGCTGTTTATTAGGCCGGACCAAATGAAGTATTTTTTTAATAAAAAATGTTCCCGCAAGTCTGACGTCTGAAGTCACAACAAAAAATATATAGAAGATCAGTTCGGTACAGTCTCCTCGCAAAAATAAAAATACCCTCTAGCTCATGGCCTAAATACGTACTAACGTAGGCTTGTTCTTTTTTCAGGAGGCTAAAATAGGCCTAAAATAATAAATTTCGGAGGCTATGAGACTGGGCCCGGCCCTGGGGTAGTCTAAATGGTTTTGTTAAAAAAAAACACAACAACAAAGAAGGAAGTGATTTTTAGGGTTTTGTGTGATGGGCTGATGATGGCTGATATGTTTTGAGATACATAAAATATCACAATTTATTTATTTATCAATCAGTATTGTTCTGTGTGGTTCACCGCAAGAGAGTTATAGTTAAAAGGTAAATATAACTGAACGCTGTTTTAAAATCGTTTGTTACAGATAGAGTGCCGATTCTGCGCAGTCGTGTGAGGATCACGACAACTATAGAACGGTAGATCTGCTGGGTATGGAGACTATGAACGACAGTCATGACCTCCACTTGCATCTTCCATACTACAATGCAATAACAGGTACGTCAAACATATGCTATATATCATATATATAGCCTAATCAAGCGCCTTTTCTTCTTGAAATTTATTAACGGCTTTTCCCACTATAAATGTGTCACAGCAGTGACTTGGCACAGCAGTGACTTGGCACAGCAGTGACTTGGCCGAGAAAACGCATCAGACACCATATATATGCCCTTAGTTCATGTCCATATCGATAACTTCAAGAATACATTCATACTAACTACTGCCTCTATCCAAAATATTGGTTTGTTCCGTGTGCTTTGTGTCATGAAAATGTCTACGCTATACTTG